TATGAGCCATCACACCCTGCCCACCCACCCTGACCAGGCCAACAATACCACATCCTATGGCCTTGCACCAGCATGGCATCTCTGGAGGAGGGGCAGGCAAGGGTGGTGATCTCATGCCTCCCTCACTGTACCTCCTTTAGTTATATGATTCCTGGTGTCACCTCACCCACCACACCGTGGGCTCCAGGGAGCAGGATTCACATGGGGTTGGTCCATCCTCCCTGGCTCCAGCAGACTCCAAAGACAATAAAGGGCTCACTATCTATTTCCTGGGTCAATCACTTTCCCCCCAAGCCCATGAGGTGAGTACAGCTTACAGCCTAAGGACAGCCTCCAGGCTGCAGCACAGGGAGGGCCCTGTGGACTCTGCTGAGGACCCACAGGAGCTCCCCGAGGCCAAGTGCAGGACAGAGATCAGAGAAGCAGCTGCTCAGAGAACTCTAGCCCTGCAGAGGCCCAAATATGGCTGCTATTATACAGAAGGTGAGGCCAAAAACGCTGGAGACATTGCTCCTGAATCTCATTCTGTCATTTGTAAAAGAGGGAAAATGATCTACCCTCATCTCCCCAGGTTGTTAGGAAAATCCACTACCTGAAAATGTGCAGTCACTGGCTGGGAGCAGGACACCAGCTGCCCAACAGCACAGGCTCGGGGCATGGCACTGTCCCCACTGTCCCCACTCTCCCCATCCCCAACCTGGAAGCTAGAGCCTCGCTGTCCTGCCACTCCCGGATACAGGACAGAGGACCGGAATCAGGACCGTGGCCTCTCAGTAGGGGCTGGGAGAGCAGCCATCTGCAGCCACCTGGATGGAGACCTTTCCTGCTCACTCTTAGAACTCCAACCCGGGCCGGGCACCCACCAGAAGGACAACTGGAAGCGTGGCAGGTAAACCAGGCTGTGGCCCTGCAGTGCCATCACTGTCCTCACTTGAACTCTGGCTCCTCTGTTCCTTGATGGCCCCTCCACATGGTGCTCCACTCCAGTCTTAAAAAGTTTCTGCCCTAAGCTCAGGGAGCCGGTACTGAGGTGCAGGTAGGAGCAGGTGCAGCCTCTGCTGGGTGGAGGACATATGCCCTGGGGATCCAGAGTCCAAAATGACTGACACCAGCCCTGAGAATGTAATTCATCCTCCCACACCTGGTAACACAGCCCTCTGAGGTTTACACAGGGCTGCTGAAGATCTTTATCTCCTCTTTACTTTACAGGCAGGAGCTGGGGCCACACCAGTGTCACAGAGCTGGAGGGGAAGCACAGCAGGGCCCAGCTGTTCCCAGCCTCCAATCTCAGGAGTCCTTGAGAGCCTCAGAGTCTGAGATTCTGAACCATTGGATCTATTCAATTCCTACTTTGATAAAGAGAGGGGCGGGGTAGAAGCACCTGTCACGGAGATTGAACCAGTCCAACGTTGACAGACCCAGGACCTGGGGTCAGGAACTGAGCTCAGCTCCAGGCTCATCTGATGTCCTCCTGACAGCCTGAGGACGGAGACCTTATCTCCATTCACAGGCATGGTGGGTGGCAGGCAATTGCCCCAGCTGACCATGGTTTCCCAGGTGCATAGCTGGGAATTCGGTCTTCCCTGCCACCCTCCCCTGCTGTCTCATCTGGATCCCCCAGTAACCTACTGGGAGTAGATTTGGTACTTTGGTACTCCTAGTACCAAAGAACTCCTGTATCCTTGAAAATTCCTAATACCATGAAGGAATGAAAGTACACAGCAATGTGATGAATCACGTTTTACTTCCTGGACTAGCAAAAAATGAAAGCTAAGTGTAGCAAGGGTGTAGGGACACAGGCACATTTGTGGACTAGGTGTGAGTATATGCTGAGTTCAATGGTCTTTTGGAGCAAAATCTGTGAACATCTAAAGAAACTTCTGAAATCATTTATCCCACAGAAGTAGAAGTAAAATTATACTTCTAAGGAGTTGCCCAATAAGCTGGTGCACATGGATATGTGGACACACAATACGTACAAGGGTATTTAGTAGAACATTGTTGGAATTAGCAAAGGCAAAGTCAGGGTAGGATCTAACAAGCTGCCCCTAGGCAGTAACAGTGAATTAACCTTTGGCTTACCCATGCAGTAAAATACCCTTATTTAAAGGAAGATCAATCTGAATGTACTGCCATAAAACATCTAATGTGATTTGTGTTAGCTCCAAAATTTTAAAGAGCGATTGCACATTGAAATGCATTTGATAAGGCAAGACTGATGGAGGGAACAAAGCCCCCTTTGGGATGTATAGAGTTCACATTCCCAAAACTGAGATTCACATTGCTGGCCTTGTCTACACTGGTCATCCACGCATTCTCTCTTCAGGTCCACTGTCCTAACACAGCCATTCTTCTACCTGCCTCAGGTAGGTCCACCCACTATAAACTATTGCAGAAGTCGGCTGTATAATTTTTGAGAGGTAAAAATGTTACTGCTTTTCTGAATTTAGTATTAATTTGTTGAAAGAAAACATGCAAACTCTCATAGTTCCTATAATCTTGTTTTATCCTCCCCCTTTTGTTTTGGTATTATGTAAGGAACCTTAGAAAGTGCTGTTGGCAGAAACGTCAATCACTCTGAGAAAGTCCTGGCAGTCTGCACATTTTACTTATAATACGTCCTTACTCTGCACCCCACCACCAATCTCAGTTTCCAAAGCCAACTCACAACGAGAACTTTACACCTTTTATGCTGAAGGAAGGGGCCAGCCCGCGGTCCTGTCTGTGGGATGCAGAGGGGACACACGGGTGACAGTGGCAGACACTGGTTAACAGCTTCCTGCCACTTTCAGGGCTCTAGAGGAAATTAAAGTTGCAAACACAAGCGTTGGAAAGCTTTTTCACCGGCTGTTTGTTAAACGGATCTCCAAGGAACACGTTTAACAGTGTAAACATAGGGTTAATTTTTTTTTTTTTTTTTTTTGACAGAGTCTTGCTGTTGCCCAGGCTGGAGTGCATTGGTGCAATCTCGGCTCACTGCAACCTCTGCCTCCCGGGTTCAAGCAATTCTACTGTCTCAGCCTCCCAAGTAGCTGGGATTACAGGCGCCTGCCACCATGTCTGGCTAATTTTCGTATTTTTAGTACAGACGGGGTTTCACCAAGTTGGCCAGGCGGGTCTCCAACTCCCGACCTCAGGTAATCCCCCCCGCCTCGGCCTCCCAACGTGCTGGGATTACAGGTATGAGCCACCACGTCAGGCCTGGGTTAATGTTATTAATGAACGGACGAACGAAAGAGGCCACCGCTCTGTGGCTTCCAGAGGTTTCCTCCGGAGTTTCCATCTTGACTCCCTCCCTCCGTTGATTCTGGAACTTACTCCGGGGCAGCTCAGTGCGGTCCTCGCCTCACGCGACAGCCAGGGGGAGCGCGCGCTCTGCTCCCTCGCAGCCGGGTCGCTCCTGCCCAGCCAGGGGACCCCAATCTTCCCGACTCCGACGACGGGTTCGTCCTGCCCGGGCATGCCCCGCCGCAGGCGACCCGGGCCAAGCGTCCCCGCCGTGTCCCCCTCTCTCTCTGCCCATTCCCGGCGCCAGGTGCGCTCTTCCCCAGCCAGGGACCGCGGCGGGTACTCACCAGCAGCAGAACCGCGACGATGACGAAAACAAACTTAAGGGTCTTGGGGTCCGGGAGCCATGGTGTGGTTCCCGACGCCGTCCTGGCTCCTGGAGAGCGCCCTGCTCGAGCGCTCGAGGCGGTCGGGGCGCTCTGTCCGCAAAGTCCCATGAGAAGGGAGGTGGGTGGAGGCTCTTCGCCCCTCCGAAGTTTGGGTAAAAAGCGCCAAACTCAATCAGAAACCGTCCGGAAACGGTCCCCGTAGGTCGTGCGCGTGGAAAGGTTCTCGCAGCTACACTGCCAGAATCCGGGCGTGCACCCCGCTTTTATACCCCGGAAAAGGGCGTGGTCACTTGTTCCCCTTCCCGCAGTCACTTCCAGGCACTCAGAAAAGGGGCATGGCCTCCCCCAGTACCTCGGGGAGGGCCCAGGTTGTGTGCGTGGGTGCATGGACGGAGAGGAACTACTTCTTGCCGGCAGTGGTGACCCAGGCCTGTGGTTTGATTCCGGGTCCTGTCCAGGCTGTGGCAAGCAGAAGGGGTAGGAGCTAAGGCGCTTCCCACTGCGCTGCTGTAGTCGGGGTAGTGAGGTTCAGAGGAGGCACTGGAGGCCTGTCCTGAGCCTGCTCCCTCCCCGGGACGCCTGTCTCTCCTCTTGTTAAACCCTGAACTACTTCCTGGCTTAAGGACTTCAGTCCACTCTTAGCTTCTGCTCCCACTCCCTCCCCAAACAGCGGCCTCACTGACCACTGCTCTGATGCCACTGCCTCCAGCCTCCTTGCTGCTGTGACCCAGCACCAAGCTTCTCTGGCAGGGGCTTGGCACCCCTCAGTAGTGGGTGCCTGGCACCAAGGAGGGACCCAGTGAGTGCATAAGTGGACAGAATGAAGGACGCAGAGGCCATGACGGGCAAGTGCAGAGGCTGAGGAGTAGGTAGGAGGGAGAGGAAAGCCAGGGGCATCCCTAGCCACAGCCTGGCACCCTTTGCATGGTCAAGGCACAAACACTCCCTGACCAACCTTGAGGGCTCTAGTACTGAGGCCCCATCGAGTCAGGGGAGTGGCTTCCAAAGCCTGTCCCCAAGTCTAGTGTCTACCCAGGTCCAACTGTCTGACCTTGGGCTACTTACCTCCCCATCGAGTTAAGCACACTGCTGCTGTGAGGACAGACCCAATGTGTGGTATTGAAGGGTGCCAGCTGGTGAGCCTAGGCACTCAGGTCAATGGCACGACTCCTAGACCCTTGGGGTCAGTCAGCTCCTGATCCCGCACATGGTAGGTAGAAGAGGGTATCACTATAGAAATGAAGGTTTTTTGACTCACCAGAAACCTGGGAATGAAATGTCATCCTCTCCACAGGCTTGGATTTGAGCGATGGAGCACCCCAAGCACCTGCCAGGCCCCAGACACTGACCTAGGGTCAGAAATGTGTGCCAGGGCCAGGCGCAGTGGCTCACGCCTGTAGTCCCAGCACTTTGGGAGGCTGAGGTGGCAGGATCACGAGGTCAGGAGTTCGAGGCCAGCCTGGCCAACATGGTGAAACCCCATCTCTGTTAAAAATACAAAAATTAGCTGGGCATGGTGGCGGGCACCTGTAATTCCAGCTACTCTGAAAGCTAAGGGAGAAGAATCGCTTGAACCCAGGAGGTTGCGGTTGCAGTGAGCCGAGCTTTATGCCGCTGCACTCCAGTCTGGGTGACAGAGTGAGACTCTGTGGGGAAAAAAAGAAAAGAAAAGAAATGTGTGCCAGGCCCCAGGCACTGAGAAATGTGTGGGGTCAGGAATGTGTGCTGGGTGCAGGAAGTGAGAGGACAGGGACTTCAGAAAGACTGACAGCATTAACACAGAGCCATCAGGGCCTGCAGCAAAGTCCTTAAAGCACTTTAGCTCCCTTGGCCCTCGAGGGTGAACCACACAGTGTAGACTAGAAACCAGATTGCAGGTAACGACACATTCTCTGTGCCCTATGTGGGACACTGACTAGGGCTAATGGCAAAAGGCTGTGAGCACCTCCCGGGAACTGGGCCTTTAGATCATAAAGTTTCCATTTAAGAGGGACTTACTAGCTTGCGATGGAACACAAACTGAAGCTCCCCCTGTGACTGAAAGACGTAATCTTGAAACCTGAAAAACTCGTGATGTCTTCAGTAATCTTGGAAAAGCTCTAATGGGGAGGGCAGTCCCAGAAGAGTTCTATTACAAAATGGAAATGTATTTTAGTGCAGTGGTGCGATCTCGGCTCACTGCAACCTCCGCCGCCCAGGTTCAAGCGATTCTCCTGCCTCAGCCTCCCAAGTAGCTGGTATTACAGGCACGTGCCACCATGCCCGGCTAATTTTTGTATTTTTAGTAGAGATGAGGTTTCATCATGTTGGCCAGGTTGGTCTTGATCTCTTGACCTTGTGATTCACCCACCTCGGCCTCCCAAAGTGCTGGAATTACAGGCGTGAGCAACCTCACCCGGCCTACAAAATGGAAATGGTTGACATGGGATCCTGGTGCCTGAGGAAGGCAAAGAGGAGACACTCATGAGCAGGGAGCCTCTGTTCCCCTCAGACTGACTCTGGAACTGGGTGAGGAGCTGCTGGATTCTATGATCACTTGGACACTTCCCTATACACAGCTCTTTACTGACTGACCAAGAGCTACTTAGTTTATAGACTGTCATTCCTAGGTGAATGGACAACATCCTATTTGGAAGGCCACCCCTCTGACGGAAGAAGGCAAAGGCAAATCAGCCGGGTGGGTTGGATTGCATGCTGTTTTCCTAGCGTTGATGGAAGATTTGAACAGCAGCAAAAGCCCCTGTACTTGGGTTTTTTTCTGGCTCATGGACAGTCGTCAACATCCCAGTCATAGAGTTGGGAAGGAGAATGTGAAAGTTGATCGCACAAATTGGGTCATTCTTGTCATACCCAACTAAAACAGTCAAGAGGCCATGGGGAAAAAATCAGTGTATTACCCCTGAACTGCAATTTTCTGTAAGCCTGGCAGCTGTAAGCTGAACCTATTAATAGTTCTATCTAATATCTATTGACACAACCTGCTGCTGCTCTAAGACCAGCTTGACCCACTGCAGTCACTCACCAGTCAGAGCATGCCACTTCTTCGATTTGTACAGTGCCAATGAACTTTCTGGAAAAAAAAAATACTTAGTATTTCTCCTTTTAAAAAAACCTTTAAACTTCTCTTTGTTCTTTGGACATACCAAAGACAACTTGGTCTTTGTGTATGCCAGGAATTGCAATTCTTGTTTTCCAAATAAAGCGTATTAAATTTGGATATTCGTCTCTACATTTTCCATTGTTTCCAAGAGTAATGGAAAACTGGCCTATTGAAGGGATGTCCATATGGGGACCGACCCTATGGAAATCTCTAGGGGTACTTGAGGAGTGCATTAAAATAGGACATGCCCATAGCGGTCAGTAGAACCCACCCTCAGGTTTGGAAAGTGACTGTAATCAGCAAGAGATACCCCTGTGTACTCCCTTGAGGTGGTCACCAGGGTCCACGAAGTAAAATAAGTGGATATGGGGGAACCACAGCGATGCAGAGATGGGCTGAATTGAAACACGTTCCTCTTGCTGTCTCTCAGGTGCATAATGCCAATAAGAGCTGTTCTGTCTGCCAGCGGGAGAGACACAGACTGCCTATGGTTATGAGGCAGATTCCCTGATGGGGAGGCCCTGAACATTCTTGGAAAGTGAGACTGAGGGCAGGGTCCTGGGGGGTACAGGTGAGTCTCCACGGGAACAGAAACTGACTGTGGATTGTCTTTTGCTTACCTGGTGGAGGCTGCAAATGCCCAAAGTGCTATTAATATAAAAGAACTGAAATAAGGTATTATTCTAGTTTGGGCCACTAAGCCGCACTTCCTTGGACCAAGAAACATGCCGTTCAGTGCATAATGTTTTGCGAATGGGCAGCGAGATATCCTCCTTAGAGTAATAATTTGATAGGGAAGCAGAACAGTCAACTGAAACATTATCTACAATGGGGGAAGATAATAAGCATGAAGGGCTAGCTTCCACGCCTTCACCAGTGTGTGCCCCCACTCCACACGAGTGGGCTAAAGGAGTGTCCCCACTGGACTTTCCTCCATTTTTCTAGTGAATCTGGTGACAAGGGGGTGGGGAGGATGCTTGTATAATGACTTTCATTTTGTTGTTGTTGTTGGGTTTTTTTGAGACACAGTCTAGCTCTGTCGCCCAGGCTGTAGTGCAATGGCACGATCTCGGCTCACTGCAATCTCTGCCTTCCGGGTTCAAGTGATTCCCCTGCCTCTGCCTCTCAAGCACCTGAGACTACAGGCCCCCGCCACCTCACCCAGCTAATTTTGATATTTTGAGCTGAGACAGGGTTTCACTATGTTGGACAGGCTGGTCTCAAACTCATGACCTCAGGTGATCTACTCGCCTTGGCCTCCCTTAAGTGGTGAGATTACAGGCAGCGTGAGCCACTGTGCCCAGCCAGTGACTGCCATTTTTGTCTTTCTTCCCCACGTTACCTCAACTCTCCCCTCCTCTCCACCTGCCACCTGGTGCAGTGGCCACAGGATCGGGGCTACAACTACGAGTGCTGGAAGCAGTGACGACTCCTAAGCCAGAAACTGAGACTATGTGTTTAGACTTTTCTGTCAATTTTCTTATAGACCTCATGGATGTGGGTTGTGCTTTGCCCCACCTGCCAAAATAGAGGCTAACCGTATATGCAGCTACATTGCCTGATATGGTTTGGATGTGTGTCCCTCCAAATTTCATATTGAAATAGGATCTCATATTGGAGATGGGCCTGGTGAAGGTGTTTGGGTCGTGGGGGAAGAACCTTCATGAATGGCTCACTGCCCTCCCCACAGTAGTGAATGAGTCCTTCCTCTATTAGTTCACTCAAGGGCTGGTTGCTTAAAGGAGTCTGGCACCTCTCACGTCTGTCTCTTGCTCCCTCTCATCCTGTGATGTGCTGGCTCCCCTTTGCTTTCTTCCATGATTAGAAGCTCCCTGAGGCTCTCACCAGAAGCTGAGCAGATGCAGGTGCCATGCTTGCACACCCTACAGGACTATGAGCCAAATAAACCTGTTTTCTTTATAAATTACCAAGCCTCAGCTATTCCTTTATAGCAACTCAACATGGACTAATACATTGCCTATTGGTAAAATAGCCCATTAGTTCTGCACCTGTGTAACCCT